GAAACAGATGACAATTACCCGGGTGCACTGCAATTTGTCAGCTGCCGCAACCGGACACCGGATGTTATTGGTGGCATACATTTTTGCCTGTGACTCATAGTTTTTTGCATTTTTATGTCATTAAATCCCTCAATTATATCTTGTACTTAAAGATCATGTTTTCTTTGTTGGAAGTTCGCAATCCATCTCAAAGTAACAACACTGAGAACATAGCGTTCTGGCGTTCGTGTAGGCACCTCACGGTGTTGAGTAGTGGTTTAGGTTTGTGTGGCGAACGACAATCACCCAACGACCGACGCTCACAACTTGGATCCCACCATTAACAAAAAGCAATATTATAGTTATATAACTTTTCAGATGTTTTTAATTCAGTATTTTTTTCAATATTCTTCCAAAATTCAACCACTATATTTCCCTAAAAATCAAATAATACCGGTTTTATGTATTTCCGTATTAAACCTGTAGTCAATTCATGTTCCAGGGCCACTTGGTTTAGCCGTGCATTATCAGCCAATATACCATGGATTGCATATGCAAATTTTGTGTTTGAACCAATCAAATCAATGGATTAACACCATCAATATACTGGTATAATATAATACTTGATATGACGTAACTACCGATAACTCAGTTTCACTTAACAAACTTGGAATATGATGTGCTACTTTATGTTATCACAATATTCCCAAATACTGACTATAGTTACTCTTACCTCTGTCTGTTTATTCCATGATACAATATATTCCCATGTACAGTGTGCATAGAGTAAATCAGGTTGTAAACTAATAGGAAATCTTTTGCGTAACGATGACAAAAGACCTAGAAGCAACAGAATGGATCAGTTATAATACGATAAATTCAAATAACATGCAGCTTTGGCAGTGTGACTGTCTATACAGGTGAATTGGCATAATGTGGACTCGACAAGCTTTTATGATAACCACTTCAGATAAAATGATTACTAGTGAATAGCTGCAGTGAAATATTCTGAATACACCAAAGTATACAGAGTTAATGAAGTTCTATTGTTCAAAATTCAGCAATTCAAGTTCAAAATAAGCAATGGGTAATTGCATGCCTTCAGTTTGCTTGATTTAATAGTTAATTACAATGAGGATCCCATACCAGAAATTTGATTTAACTCGTCTTGAACAGCTGTGTCTTTGGTTACCATGGGAACATATGATGCATGTTTCTCAAAGCTGTCAGTCATGGGATGGATGGAGTCTAGTATAGTGTGGGGAACACAGTATTTGGCAACCCACCTTGCAATCACTTCGGCAACTATACCTGTAAACAAAGATGGAATAGGGGATGATCAAATGATTTATTTTGTTCCTGACATAATCATAGTTGGTAGCTTGGAATTGGAAAGTAGGAAGTTTGACATTATCAACATGCAGAACTAGATCATAGACCTGAACACAAAGCTCATACATTAGGATTAAACCTCACTCGATTTGATCAATGATAAAAATCATTATTACCATGGACACACATTCTTTAATGATAGTTTTACAACACAATAGTTAGACTGGCTGCAGACAGGATGACTAGTTCCTCTGACTGAAGCCAGTC